GGGGGGGGGGGGGGGGGGTATAAGGCATGCAATGCGTGTGTGGCATGCATCGTGGCCATCGGCTTGTCAGCCCATGTACTCGTCGAGGCGCACGCCGATCTGCCGGCCCTGAAACTCCTGGTCGTTCAAGTTCTCTGACAACACACACACGCGCGAGAAGCAGCATGTCGTTGTGCAACCGTGAGTGTGTCGACTGTGTAGTGTCGTGTGTACCGATGGCGGCCTGGGCCTCTTCTTCGGAGGTGTATAGGACCACACCGACGCCCTTGGACCGGCCATCGGGACCCGTCAACACGTCAGCCCTGACACACACACCAGACAGCCGACATGTGTGGAATCAGTTCATCCCCACCCCACCCACTCACCTGACGACTTCTCCGTATTGTCTGAAGAGGTCCTTGAGGTCCTGCCATGACGTCCGCCACGACAACTGATGAATGACACAAGACACAACAGACACACATTGCAGCATTGACACATTTCCATTCCTCCCCTCTGTCGGGTGTCTGCTTACGTTTGACACGAAGACCTGTTTGCCCGCATCCTCGGGGTTCCTCGGCCCCCTGCCTCTGCCCCTGCCGCCGCCCCCCGGCCTGCCGCCTCTGAAGGGCCGCCCGTAGTCATCGCCCCGGCCCCTCCCACGACCATATCCGCCGTAGGGGTCGCCGTAGCCCCCACCATAGCCCTCGTCCTCATACCCTCCTCTGCCCCTGCCTCTGAAGCCCCCGCCGAAGCCGCCCCCTCCGCGCCGTGGGGGCCTGTAGCCGCCCATACCCATACCCATGCCCATGCCCATGCCGCCGCCCATCGGACCGCCGCCCCGACCGCCCACGCCGGGCGGCTCACGATCCTCACGAACAAAAATCAAACGACCTGCAGCAGCAGAAACGGTGATGGGTGGCTGGTGTGTTGTTGTGCTGTGCTGTTGTATTGTGTGCCGACCGAATAGCTCTGTGTCGTTGAGTGTTTCTATAGCCTTCTGGGCATCCTCAGGGTTCGCATACTCGACAACACCGCACCCCTGACGCACACACACACTCGCACAGATGAATGCAGTGTGCCATGTGCCGCCATCGGGTCGTGATGCGGACCTTCGATCTGCCGACGGCGTCTTCGAATACGTCTGAGCGCACCACGGTGCCGGCGGACCCCATGTGGTCCTTGAGGTCCTGCCACTTGACGCCCCACGCCAGATTGCCCACATACACACGACAAGGCCCCTGAGCCTGCACACACACACCAACAAGAAACCAGCGCAAGAATCAGATACCGACACATCCCTTGCGCCTGCCATGGCCTTCTTTGTCTTATCGCTCTACCATTCTGGTGCAGTGGGTGCTCAGAACTCCTCAAACTGGTCGTCTCGCCGAGAGCAAGAGATATTTGACGTCGCCGTCAGACTATGCCGTAGGTGTGCGATTCTGCTGTGTGTCGAGGCTGGATAGTGTCCTCCGCCGCCCAGTGAGTGATGCCGCCCAGAACAAGACGGCTGACACACATGCCAACCTCCTCCACTCAGTTCCGTCCTTATTGCTCTTCCCTCAGGCCAGTCAGCCCTTGCTCTATGCCCTCCTCCAAGCGCAAAAGGGGAAGGGAAAGCCAGTAGATCGCAAAATTGCGCGCTAGCAGCCAAACCAAACAGCGGCCGCAGTAGACTCATAGATCTGCTCATGGGGAGGCCAAGCCTCATCAGATCTCATTGCATCTGCGGAGTTTTTCTCCTGCTGCCGCTGTTCATGATGACGCTTTACTGTCCCCCTTCCCTCGCCTTCACGCCCTCTGCCATTCGCCCCGTGGCCCTTCCCCTCAGACTCTCTGCATCCCGCTTCAGATCATCGCCACTCGGCCAGCCTGCCCTGTCAGCTGCAAGGCCATCCAGGACTGACGACACATCTCCCCCTGACCTGCCTGACGGCGCAGAGGAGGTGTGGTGGGACTTCCCTGTGGGTCCCGATGCGCCTCCATTGTCATTTTCTGAGCGTGAGGTGCTGCCGGCCGAGCATGACATGGAGCTGAGGGACCGCCTGATCTTCTCTGGATCCTTCTTCGGGGTGCTGGGGCTGCTGCTGCTCTTCATGGCGTCGGACAAGGCAGCCGCCACACTCATTGGCACCGCCGAACGGTGAGGGGGAGATGGGAATGTTGACGCCATGCACTCGCTTGTTATCGTGTGTTGCCTGCGTATGTCAGGCTGGGTCTTGATCTGTATCTCGAGTCGCCCGACGACGCCTTTTATGCCCTGCTGTGGTCGGCCTTCACGCTGGCTCTGGCGTGTGCGCTTCCCAACTTCTATGGTCAGCTGATCGCCTACATCCAGCCGTCCCTGCGGCGGTCCGAGCGGCAGGTGGTGACGGTGGGCGCCCTCATGTCCTTCTCGCTACTCGTCGGAGGCATTGTGTTTGCCGTTAAGGGCGTCATGCCCTTCTACCTGGGCGTCATCATGCAGTCGGTCGGATGGATCGGCGCGCCCAACATCGAGCCACTGTGGTCACTCCGTCGCTTCATCGACACCACTGGCAGCGTGGCTCTGTTGACGGTGCTGCTGTTCCAGCTGCCCATCCTGGAGGTGGGCCTCGGGCTGGCGGGGGTGCTGACAAGTGACAAGCTCATCGAGGTGTGGCGCTATGTGCTGGTGGGGTCCACTCTGCTGTCGGCCGTCATCACGCCGACGACAGACGCCTTCACGCAGATCGTGACGGCGGGGATGATCAATGGGCTGTATGGGATCGGCATCCTGGGCCTCAAGTGGTTCGAGGCCAACAGAGAGAAAGAGAAGACCATCTGACTGATATGAGGAGTGGGGGGGTGGGTGAGTGGGTAGAGTTGGGAGCAGCCCCTACGTAAGCTCAAGCTGGCGGGGCGCTCGTCAACTGTGCTGCCGTGTGGCCGTGTGAATAACGAAGGCTGGCAGTTGTCGTAGATAAGACGAGGCAGTTGGAAGACCATCGGATAGGCTCATGAACAAGGAGGTAAAGATCCTCACCAACTGCGTGGACGCAGTTGATGATCTTCCGTCCACGCAGTTCGTGAGCTCTTTGCGTTGTATTTCCTGAGACTGCGATGGGACGGTCTGACTGTGGATGGTCTTGTCTGAGTTGGTACCTGTCCTGCAAACTAGGTAGAAGTGACCGATTGTATGCGCTTTGCGTGTCCGAATGCCCTCGTGCATCAGATTGAGACAGCGCTGCTGTGGCCCCCCTCTCATGTGGCAGTGAATGAGCATCCAAGCCGCTGCGGTGCTGCGAGCTGAAGTGGAGATCTACCTTCGAGATCTGCCTCTTTCCCCGCCTTCTGCAGCTCCTCCGATGGCTCGTGGCGTCAACTTCGGTCTCGCCTTCGCGCTGGTGATTGCCAGCGGGGTGGTGGGGTCTCTGGTCAGCACCCTCATCCCCACCATCCGGGCGCCTGTGCTCTACACCGTCATCACGCTGGTGTTTGGCCTGGCGTATTACTTCCTGGACGACATGAGCCGCAACTATAAGTTCGGCTACGTGGGGCAGGGCAAGGGCACCGGGGTCGTGTCGAAGCTCAGCGGATACCTCGGCAAGTTCAACGAGCAACAGGGCGGCACACTCAAAGGCAGAAAGTAGGCAAATCATGCAGAGAGAGGGGGGTGCTTTGTATTCCGTGCTGTGCTCGTCAGGGAGGGCTACAAGGAGATGACTCAAGACTTCTATGATCTGGTGACGGACATCTACCACTACGGATGGGGAGATGCATTCCACTTCGGCGCCAGATTCGAAGGTAGACGGATGGGCGCACACTCTCTGTCTGTGTCTGTCTGGCTTGTGTGTCGTCATCACTCACTCCGTCCATCTCCCGTCTCTGTCTGTGTCAGGTGAGGGTTTCCTGGAGAGCATCCGCAAGGACGAGTACTGGCTGGTGCACCGTGGCGGCATGCAAAAGGGGGAGAAGTGGCTCGACCTCGGATGCGGCATCTCGGGACCTCTCTGCCACATCGTCAGGTCAGCAGACCATGCCGCGACGTGACGGACCGCCAGCAGCCGATTGGCGCCCTCGTGTGCATTGTTGTGTTGTGTGTGCCTTCTGTGGTGTCTGTGTGAGGCAGGTTCACTGAGGCCCATGTGACGGGCGTCAATATCAACAAGTACCAGGTGGAGCGAGGCAGGCAGAAGATCATCGAAGAGGGTACATTAACCACACCACACACCAGTGATCCACCCCCACGGCAACCACACACGCGTGGTCCGCTGTGCCTCTCCGAATGCGCGCAGGTCTGCGTGACTTGGCTTGGGTGGAGGAGTGCGACTTCATGAAGCTGCCCGAGAAGTTCGGCAAGAACTCTGTCGACGGGGTCTACGCCATCGAGGCCACCTGCCACGCACCCGACAAAATCGGATGCTACAAAGCCGTGCGTCAACACACAGACAGACCACAGGGCACACAGCCAGACCTTTGCCGCATCTGTCAGATATTTGAGACATTGAAGCCGGGTGCTTGCATGGTGTTCTTCGAGTGGTGCATGACCAAGACGTATGACCCCAACAACCCCGAGCACCGGGCCATCAAGGAGGGCATCGAGACCCACAACAGCCTGCCCGAACTGGCCACCGAAGACGAGGTGCGGAGGAATGGATGGATGGACGGTGCCGTGATGAATATGTAATGCGTGTGTGCATGTGCAGATCATTGAGGCCCTCAAGAAAGTCGGTTTTGTCGTCGAGGAAGCATTCGACCGCACGGTCAGCCCAAACAGGAGGGCAAAGGAGGGGGAGGGCCGCACAGCATGGTGTTTGTTTGTTCGTGTGGTCAGGGTGTGGAGCAGAACAAGCTCAACACGGTGCCCTGGTACGCCACCATCGATGCCTCATACTCACTCGCCAACTGGCCCGCAAGGTGGGTCGGCACCCAACAGTGATATCTTTTAGCTGATGGATGTTGTGTGTGTTGTCCGTGTGTGTCAGTTGGTGGGGTCAGGTGATCCTGAACGCCATGATCAAGGCCATGGAACTCATCAAACTCGCTCCCCCGGTACACACACATACACACACATGACGCGTCTCTTGTTCCTCAACTGCCTCCTTCATGTCTTTTGGGTTCAGGGCAGCGCTGCGACGCACAAGGCGCTGTGCCGCGGGCTGGTCCCTCTGGTGAATGGCGGCAAGACCATGTGCTTCTCGCCCCACTTCTACTGCAGGGCCCGCAAACCACTCAACGCATGAAGACAGACAGCAGTGCGTGGCGATTTTGTGACTGGATGGGGACGTGTGGGCGAGACGAGGCATCTCAACTTGCCGACCTACTCACCCGATTTTGGCCCTTCATCCACTTTTTCCTCTATATATACTGCTCTGTATCTTTACTGTCTTTGGTTCCCTCCCCAGTGTTGCTTTTTCGTGAGAGCAGCTGTCTACGCAGTCTCTGTGTCTCTGTGAGTGTGGAGAGAGATTGAGAGAGAGCGAGTCGTTGCTTTTTGTGTTGCTGTGGTGATCGGAGGACGGCTGGCTGTGTGTCTGCCTCGTTTGTTCGTCCGGGGATGTGCACCTGGGCTACCCACCCTGCACACAGGTGTTGGCAGCTGCGGTGCGCGTCCTTGGACGATCAAACGGGGGCGGTTGCCAAGCATGACTTTAACCGAAGGATGCAGACAGATGCGGTTGCCCTGTGGGAATCGGTATGCATTGTTTTTCGCGCGTTGAGACCGCGGTTTCTCGCCTCGAATGCTGGCATATTGCATGTCTTGTTGTCGCACTCGTCCATAGCCGACAACCATAGCAGACCATGCCTGTCAGGCAGCGTGCGTGTATCCGCCGTACTCGGTGTGCAATTGAGTGAGATGAGTCTTGTCGCGAGTACGATACATTCGCTGGCAGATGGATGAAATCCCTCACGAAGAAGACCTGCTTCCCCTCCAGCTCGCGGTGCTCTAACCCGTTCCCAGACCCCTCATTCGTGCTGAACGTCTGAGGGATTCTAGAAGCTGTGTCCACTGAACGTGGCCGCAGCATCGCCTTATCCTGTCGAGGTACACGGATGCATCATCAGAGATGGAATCTGAGGCGTGTGCACATATTTCCCATGTTTCCTGTACAGGTGCCGCTGCGCACCTCTCTGCAGACGGACTCTTCTCTCAGTAGAACGTAGCCAGCATGGTAAGAAAAACACCCTAATGACAGTTTCCCCCCTTTCTGGTAAGAAAAACATCCACCCACTTCCATACATCCATCAGGATTCAGGAGCCACCTTGCGTTGTGTGCAGGAGCCACCTATCAACGGCAATCACTATCGCCTCGTTAGCAGGAGCGGCCGACAGCCAAACAACGACGGACCGGTACGGCCATCCATCCATCCATCCGTCCGTCCATCCATCCGTCCAATGGCATGTGTTGTGTCTGTCAGGCTCAGCATCGCATCGCACGTGAGACCCTGCTGTCCATCTACGGCTGCATACCCCCCTGGACCATCACCCGCATCGCACCCAACAAGCGCATCCTCTCCGCCACGCCGCCCCTCTACAGCCACTTTGTCATCGACTGCTCCGACCCAACGACGCGTCGTGTCTGGGAGAGGGTGCCGAGCAGACGGGCGCGTAAGTGGGGCGCCATTGCGAGAAATCTCAAGCAGGTGACGGTGCGGTACCCACACCAAGACTGAGGTCAGGACGCGTTTCGTCACAGCGAGCACAGGTGGTGCGAATCTGCATGGGCATCGCTGGTCGAGGCGCATGCGACTGCGCGCGAGGCCAACAAGGAGGAGCCCGACAAGGCCAAGGGGGGCGGCGCCCAGCGACCGGCCGTAGAGCAGCAGGGAGGATCCCTCCACACTATCACCTTCGAGCCAGTGCCGGTGACAGATGCAGGGATCCGCGCCCTGCGCTGGCAGCAGCCCCGATCACTCATGTCCCGCCGCCCGAAGACTGTGATCCTCTCCGGCCTCACGTCCATCCACGGCCTCCAGTTCCATCACAGCACGCTGATAGACGAGCGGCAGTGGGTCATGCCGTCGCTGGGGCGTGTGGATGGCCACGCGTGTGGAGGGTTCATCTGCACATCCAGCAGCTTGACGCATCTGGAGGTGCGGCCTCTCAGGGGGCTGCTTGACCTGCTGGGGCGTGTGCCGCTGCCGGTGGAGGGGCAGCGAGGGACCCTGCAGGGGCTGCGGACACTCGGAGTCATCCAGACGGAGACCACCAGGGGTCTCGATGAGGAGGACCTGGTGCAGGGCATCGATCAACTGAAGGTAGTGAGGGGATAAAGAGAGGAAGGGAAGGATGGATGGATGGATGAACATATGCCTGTTGCCGCCTGTCTCTGTCTTTCCGCCCCCCAGGACGTGTTGTCGGGCCACAAGGTGCGCTCCATCACGGAGATCAAGGCTGTCGTGCCCGTCGTAGACCATACCATCAAGACATCCAAGCTGCTGATCTTCGTGCGGGCCCTCGAGGAGCTCAAGGCGTCCCTCACACCAGCCACCCTCACCCGTACGGCCTTCACCCGTGCACCCGAGATAGTGCTGGTCTCCCCCAACTGGAACAAGACATTGAAGCTCGACCTCCCCCTCCCCCCGCCCCCTGCCCCCCTTCCATCACTGTTTTCCGACGCGATGAGGTACTTCTCCAGCAGGGCGGAGACCGTCGTCTGCGAGACCCGCCCCGCCCCCATCAGCCGCATTGAGCCCGAGAAGTAGCTCATGGCCGACTTGACATTCAACAAGGACACCACGGTGGAGGTCCGGGACGGCGGCCCGGGGGGAGCGATGGTCTTCTTGCGGTCGATGGGCCGCGAGAAGAGGCTAGCCAGGGTGGTCATCAAGGGAGATCCGGCTGCTGAGGTGCTGGAGTGGGGGGCCCAGAGGGATGACCTACCAGAGATAGAGAAACTGGAAGTGACCGCAGGCGGTGAGTGAACATGGCAAAAGACTCACCCATCCACATAGCCCAGGAAAAACATCTCGATTGATCTGTCCTGCCCCGCAGGCTTCCGTCGTCCTCTCGGAGCTTCTGCCATCCGCGCCGTGGAGTCGCTGCTGCAGCTGCGGGGTTTGCGAGAGGCGGTGATCGTTCTCCAGTGCACCACTTCTCAGTGTGTGAGGAGTTCTCACATCCAAGAGGCCATCAGGCCGGTGCTTGATGGCCGCTTCCCCGGCGGCAGCGGTGTGGCCAACGGGTTCAGCGTCACATGGAAGCGAACCCGCTACGATATCGAGGTCGTCGCCCGACGCATCGACACGTAGAGCACACACAAGGTCAGCCTATTGATGCCGCAGCAGGCAGTATGGTGGCATCATTGCGTCTCGTGTGTGCGTGTGTGTGTGTGGATCAGGTGTCAGACAGACGGCTGATTGGTTTCGGGAGAGGGATGGAGAGGGGGCGGGGCTATCTCTCGTACCTGCCTGTGTGAGTGCTCCTCGAAGCTGGCTGGATAGCTGGCTGACTGACTGTGTGTATCCATGTCTGCCTCTGTGTTGTGTACAGACATACGTACGTACGTCTCACTGACTGATTCTGTATTCCAACCATCCATGTCTGTCTCACACTCGTCTGTTTTCGTGTGTGCACCATCACTACATACATACACAGCATACACAGCACGCACACCCATCTGCAGTGCACATCTCTCTCCTCTCATCTCTCTCCTCTCTGCAGGCACACCTCTCACTCTATACTGCCTTGTACACACTCGTCCAGTCAGGCACACCTCTCTCAGCGACTGACCAGCGGCCACAGAAGAAACGCACTGCTCATTGATGAAAACTGCAGGGAGGCATGGATGCAGACAGACAGACAGACGGATGGACGGACGGATGGACGGACGGACGGACGGATGGACGGATGGACGGACGGACGGACGGACGGACGGATGGATGGATGGATGGATGGATGAATGGACTTGTGTGGTCCATATATGAGACCGCAGTTTCCCTGCACGAACAGATGAGCAGTGGCATACGATGCGCACTGCGATGAGGATCGGTTGATTTTGCCATAGCATTCAACCGATCCTTCACAGGAATCAACGCAGCCATGGCAGCGTCGCATCAGCACCTAAGGGCGAAAAAGGGGGGGAAAGGAAGGGGTTTGCCGATCGCATTCTGCGAGCTTGATGACGAAGAGGTGACCCAGGCACATATCGGTTTGTCTGCCGATCTCCCTGTTGCCCTGAGTCCTGATGAAATCATCCATCGATTGGTGGAAGCTCCCGGCCCATGAGGTCGTGACAGCACTGCAGAAGAAGCAGGTGACGCCTGCCGCCCTCGTCAATGAGTGCCGCAAGCGGTGGGAGCTGACCGACGGGCTCATCAATGCCACGCCTCTTCCGTGCTTTGATCGGGCCATGGAGCGAGCAGCCGTGGGTGTGGATTCGGCCGAGGACGTCTTGAGTGGGCTGCCCGTCATGATCAAGGACCTTGGTGAGGCGGTGGAGGGACTCCGATGGGTTGAGGGATCTCTGATTTACGAGAAGCGTACTGCTGACCGCACTACGGCGACGGTGGCACACATCGAAAGGCGCGGGTAGGTAGAGAGGTGGCGCATCCATCGTCAGTGGCTGGCAGCAATCCATACATCCACTTGTTGATGTCTGTCTAGAGGTATTGTGGTCGGCAAGACCAACATTCCTGAGTTCGGAGCGGAATGTCAGACCTTCAACGCCGTCTTCGTAAGGAGAAGAAACCACACAAGTGGCCAAAGGAGTGTGTATCAGCATGCTATTGTTTTTGTGTGTTCATGCTAATCAGGGTGTCACCTGCAATCCGTTTGACACACGGCTCACTGCATCGGGTTCGAGTGGCGGGTCGGCAGCGGCACTTGCTGTCGGGCAGGTGTGGCTCGCACACGGCAACGATCTCGGCGGCTCTCTACGGTACGATCGACCAACAAGTCTGGCACGATGCGCCGACGAGCACTTTGTGTCTGTGTTTTTGTTGCACAGCTCGCCAGCTGCGTATAACAACGTCATAGGGCTGCGTCCATCGCCCGGCCTCGTTGCCACACCGGGGGCGCTCCCCCACCCGCCATGGCACGACAGCACCGCCCCTCCCCCTCCGCCCCCAGCCCATCAGCGGCTTCACAGTGGGGGCCATTGGTGGGTCTGCAAAGACGAAGACGGCCAGGAGGGATGGTTCAAACTTGGGCTCTATGCGCAGGTGAGGCGCGGCGACAGCAGGGATGGATGACATTCCTGCACGTTATGTGCTGTATGCTGGTTTTTGGTTTCCAGAACGGACCGATGGCTCGGTGCGCTAAGGACGTTGCGCTATTCCTCGACGGCATGAGAGGCACGGAAGGGTGGCGCGAGCTCGGCTTTCATCATCCCGGCGCAGCTGCAGGCGGGTTCCTGCGTTACCTCACTGACGGGCCCAAGCAGCTGCCGCGGAAAGTCTTGTGGATGGGATCCCTCGGCGATCTGATGGAGGTGGACTCGGAGGTTATGCGTGTCTGTTGGGAGGCGATCGATTGGGTGAAGGGGCAGGGCGTCGAGGTGCGAGAGGGTCAGCTGGCGGGCATCGGTGAGATGCCGCAGGTCTTCCGGACACTGAGGAGCGAGATCTTCGAGGAGAAGGCGCAGGGGGAGACGCCCATTGTGCTGCGAGACGAATACAGAGGTCAGCCAGGCAGACAGACCCATGAACACGCAGCTCAGACGAATCCTCGGAATGTGTTGGTATTGTCATTGCAGATCTGGTGAAGCCAGAGGTGTTGTGGAACACTCGAGACGGCCTCGAGACGTCCCCGGAGGACAGAAGATGGGCGAGAGATCAGCACCGCCATTTTGTCAGCCAACTGGACCAGCTGTTCTTCCGTGACGGTGTGGACTTCATCCTGCTGCCCTGCGCTCCCATACCGCCCTTCGACCACCGGATTCGGTACCCAAGTCGCATCGGCAGCATGACCTTCCCCTTCTATACCGAATGGTTCCGTCTGACGTCCATCATGAGCCTGTCGTGCTGTCCCACCCTCTCGCTGCCCGTCGGCTTCACTTCCACCTCCCCCCCTCTCCCTATCGGCCTGCAAGTGGTGGCGCCACCCTTCCGCGAAAAAAGCCTGCTCCAATTTGCGTCGCTCTATGAAGAGGCCCATCCATCGATCAGCGGACGTGTGTCGCTGGAACACCCCGTGGTTTGTGACCCTGGTGATGTGATATCGACGCATGGGTCGTGTCTGGCCATTGATGGTCCGCGGACTGCGGAGGAGGCGCGTGTGCATCATGATGAGAGCTCAAGAGTGTATGCAGACAGGAGACGGGAGCTGCATGCCTGGGTGGATTGACGGGTGATGCTCGTATGTGCAGACGAATGATTCAAGTGCTACGTGAACGCGAATTTGGTTCATTTAACGTTCGTCTCGAGTTGATTCGTTGGTCTCTCATCTTCGTCCATCATCACGTGTCGGCGAGTTCTTTGGCATGGGTGAAGAGTAGCCTGCCACGTCGCAGGAGGAGATTGATGTCTCTCGATTGGACAGAGAGGCATCTGTCTGCCACCTGCCGCGTGGCATGGCACCCTCCACACGCATCCAAAAGAACCGGGTGACTCTGTCAGTCAGTCAGTCAGTGAGTCACGTCTCACGTATCAATCATCCTTGTATCCACACCGAGCTCTTCCCCGACTCACGTCATTCTCATGCCTGTGTGCGTATCTCATCTCGATCGCTTCCTCTGTCCTGTCTGTCGGCCCCACTGATCACGACTCACTCCTATCCGATCGGACACCCACCGCACCGCACCGCACCGCACCGCACGCACCGCGGCAACGCAGCCGCACGAAAAGCGACATGGACACCCCGCACAAATCCGACAGACAGATACTCCACCTCGCTCCCGTCCGTCCACTGTCTGATATTGTGTGTGAATGTGTACGTGTTCGTACTCGTACGTACGGAGAGGAATGCAGACAGACAGACAGACAGACATGAGACATGTATGTTAATTCGATGGATGGATGGATGGATGATGTCCGTCCCGCCCCCGTGGCACAGACAGAGAGCCCACCGGCACTACTGCAACCCCTTGTCTGTCTCCCGTGGTCATTCATCTCATCAACGGAGAAACTCGCCTGCCGTGTCGTCCTTCCTTGCTCCCCGCCTGCCCGTGTGCTCGTACGTCAGCCAGCCCGACCACAATTCCGACTTACACCGACCAATGTGTGGTGCCATGCCATGCCATCGAAGCCCCTCCCCGTCCAACCAACCAACCAACCAGCCAACCAATTAGTCACTCACTCCATGGGTAGTCAACGGTAAAAGCACCAACAACACCCTCACCCCATCTCTCGTACCGTGGCCAGCGAAGCGCCCGCCCGCCTGCCTTCCTTGTCTTCTCTTCCCTTACTGCTCTCTGTGCGCGCCACATGCACCGCAGTAGCTGTCTTGCCTGTCTCCATCTGCCTGTCTGTCGTTTGGTCAATGCAGTTCTGCATGAGCGAACAAACGACACCCCTACATCCACACACACGCACAATGTACACGTAAAAACCCACCAACAAGTCAGTCACATGAGTGCCAAGTGAGGGAGGGAGGGGAAAGGGTGGGCAGGTACACAGATAGACAGATGCCCGTCTGTGGGTGATACATACGGACAGCTATGTTGTTCGTCAGTGACTTCATCAAGAGTCACCGTGTCTGCCCGGCCGGACCCCTCTCACAGCTGGCGGCAACCTACTTCGCAAACCAGCTGAGTGTCGTCAGCTGACGAAGAAGGTCGACGACAGCGAACCGAGGGGTCCCGTCCAAGCAACACGCATCGCAGGATGCGGCAAAAGAGCCGCCGTCACACAACATGGGCATTGGGCATACACACCCGTGGTATAGAGCGATGTAGTGTGATGCAGCGGGTTGGTGGATGAATGAGTCAGGTGGTGACTGAGTGGGTGGGTGGGCGGATATTAACAGACAGTACGGAAGATCGATCGACACAGACTGATTACGACATAGGGTACGACAGACAACACACACCAACGGACGGACAGACACGCAGCCACATCACATCGTGAAGCCAGCCAGTAGGTACATAACACACACACACACACGTAGATCCACACATAGGTGTGACACATGGACAGCCCTCAAGTCATTAAACACACCGACCGAGATGCACACACACTGCACGGATGAATGCACAGGGCGACACGTAGTCAGGCGATCGATCAGCTGTAGGTGGAATGGTGTTGGTTAAAGGCAAAGAGTGGACGAGGTAGTGAACATTCAATGCACGGACGAATTGTGGCAGCGACTAAAATCGGTGGGCAACAGAGAGGGAGAGGGGGGCGAGCTAAGGTGGGCCGACGACCGCACGAACAGCCACGGACAACATCGATGTGTATAGACATGAAAAAGGACACCGACCGCTGCAGCGCAGCTGGTGGGATGGGGTGTTTGTTATTGGTCGCGCCATGCACCGGAGGGCCGCCCGGCCTGTCCCTCCCCCCACTCTCACACACGCCCCCAACCCGCCCCACACTGACTATACATCCACCCGGCCAATGGACATCCATCCGTCCATGAGAGTTGCGAGTGAAATGTGCCGGCCAACCACCAAACGGACGGAAACGTGCGTACTGGTCTACAGTGCCGCTCACTGGTGGCATCCATGTAGGCACGCGCACACCACAACACACCACACCACACCACATCAGACGACACGAACGAGCATGACAACTACCCCGTGCGCTCTCTCACTCCCATGTCCGCTCTCGCTCTCACGTGTAGACAGACAGACGGATAGATAGATAGATAAGTATAGGGCTATGTAGGTATGTTGCCTGGATAAAGAGGCGTAGGGAGGGACGACCACTCACTCGATCACTCGCTGCTGAGACGCCGGGACTATACATCAGTATACAGACAGAGTACTCGGAACTCGCACACTCATCGCCTGCCTGTTTGCCTGTCTGGCTGGCTCGTTCGTTGGTTCTTGTTCCTCCTACGTATACACAGCTGTACCTTGTGCAGTCACATCGGCTGATGTGTGCACACACATAGTCAGTCAGTCCATACTCACAGTCAGTTGCATTGTGTCGCATATGTCCCTCCTCGCTGTACAGTACACGTGATGGGCTCTCTGTCCATATCGACCGCGTCTTCGTCTCCCCTCCCTAACGACAGAGTGCCCAGCAGTGGCCAGTCAGCCAATGTGTGTCAACCCCCCAACAAACAGACGGACAGTGTGCCCAAAACCGTCACCGTTCCTTCCCTTCGCTCGCTACTTTTCCCGACCGGCTCACAGCTGATCACGATCACCTCATCGGCCCAGCCCGACATCCCACACACAGCAACCAATCAGTCAACCAGGATGAAGCATCCGTGAGTCGGTCAGTCCGCTGTCTGTCTGCGCGGCACATCGCAGGGAGCCGCAACCGCACGCAACAACGCCGGGAGACGCGTTGCGACGCACGCTGACGATTCCCCATGACAAACCACACAGTCTGACAACTGACGCGAGTGGGCAATGAGAAGCATCACATGCATCTTGATTGTTCTGCTCTGTTCCCGCAGCCCAGCCCCTCCCCTCGGTTGGTTGCGTGTGTCCACGCGTCCATGAATGACATGATTCCAACATCGGCAGCCAGCCACTCTACGCACCGGTCGGTCAGTCAATCAGCGCGATCCCATCCACTCCACCCACCCATCCATCCATCAGCCATTGCTCATTCAGGATAGTCGTGTATCTGTCTGTGAGTGCGTGTGGATGTACGTTAAATCTCACCCAAGTCAGTCAGTCAGTCAGCGCATGAATGGCGGCGAGGAGGCAGTCGCCTCGCTGCCGCTAGCCAGTACTGTACGGCATACACGAAGGGGCATCGCATCAATACCACGAGGGAGGAGGAACCATCTATAACATTACACTGAGACGCTGAGCCAACCACACACACACACACACACGCACACACATGGCGCCAAGAAGTCAAGAAGGCAAGAAGTCAAGAAGAGACAAAAGGGCCAGTCAGGATGTGAGTGATATTTGGATGTCATGGAACTCTCTCAACTCGACGCTCTCTCTCATCGCATGCATCGTCGTAGGCATTGATTGCAGTAAGACACACACATGCCATGCAGCCATGTAGGTAGGTATGCAGTAAGCACGAGTGAGCCAAAAATGATCAGACAGTATACCCCGTTAACAACAAACATAAAAACAGTCACAATCGGTGTGTCTTGGTTGGTTTGGTCGGTCGGTCGACACCCCGTGTCCGCCCTGCCACCCGCCCACTGGTGCGGATGGATGGATGGATGTACCCATCGTCGTGAGACAGACACCCTGAGCGTAAAAACTCTCTGCGATAGGTACGATACGACAGGCGCGCACAGAAAACAACTGCAATGTCGTTCGTGTCGTGCAGCCGTCCCGTCCATCGGTCCCCCCAGCCACCCAGCCATCCACCCACCCACCCAGCCCCTCGTCTGCACTAGCCACTGAGTGAATGAATTACCAGACAGATGGGACGCACGGACGGGCGGGCAGGCGGACTAGGCACACGAGGCGGTGGTGGAACGTTCCGTGTGAGAGAAAGTGTGCGAAAAGGGCACCACAGTGAGTGAGTGATTCACATCATAGTGCGCGGGCATGCACCATGCAATAGAGGATCCAAGGCAGAGGGGGAGAGCCAGGCAAACACGCAAACAGGCAGGCATGCAGGCAGACAGGCGTGAATTGGCCATCCACAGCAAAGCAAACGAAAGGACACGAGACGAGCACGCGACGAGTGCGTTGGTCAGCAAGGAATGCAATCGAGACGGAAAAAGCCGGCCGCATGGCATGCACTCGATCATCCAATCCATTCATTAGCTACCATGTCTCTCCGTACACAATGGTCGCGCCACAGGGAGCGTGATGTGATGACACACACCACGCACAGACAGACAGACGTGTGCGTGTGTGAGCAACACCCTCCCCGCGCGGCAACCGTACCGAGACACACCGTAGACAGACACACCGTAGACAGACAGACAGGCACAGAGAGAGAGAATGAGTCGAACTGAATAAGCCAACCATTCACACGCACATCGTGGATGGACATACACACCAATCGATCGGCCCTCCCTCCCTCTGTCTCTCATCAACCATTCATTCAGTCAGGCAGAGGACGTCAGCCATTTGGGGGAAGGCGCCCAGTTTTAGCTCCTCCCCCCGCCCATACGGTGTCGCTTCTCTCGAGGCATCATTCTACGCGAACAGGCAGGCAGGCAGGCAGGCAGAAAAGGCGAGCCGCTCATCTTATGATCGGATCATGCATAAGGTCAGTACACGTGCACGGGAAAGAGTGAGTGGCGGCGCAAGGCAACCCAGAGATGACATGACTGACGCAGAGAGAGCGAGAGAGATGCATGGGACAACTTCCAGGCAGGTAGGCAGAGAAGACCATCACAGCAGTGGAGTGTGCACAAAAGCAAATCAGCCAGCCAGCCATCCAGCCAGCCCCGGTCGGTATGTGAGTAGGTACGGATGCGTCCCTCCCTCCCTGTAAGTGAACGGCAGATCGGTGGATCAATTGAGTCACCTGCTGAGCGAGTGAGAAACAGCCCACCCATCTCACTGCTCCCACTCACCATAGGGAAACCACACACAGAGGACGTCAGGCGAGCCAGAATCACTGCTGCAGCAACCAGAGCGGACGGACAGACAGGCGGTGGTTCACAGAGAGACGACAAGACACAGGGCACCAGTAGGGAAGGGGATGGCAGAGAGACACATCTCCGGCCATCCCATGACTGCAAAAACTTGCATATGGTTTGTGCGTGTGTGTGTATGAGCAGACGGTGTGCTTGTGTGGCGCTGGTGGGGGGTGGTGGTGGACGAACGGCTCGACGACGATTCAACAAATGACACACACAAGACACACCGGCACTCACACACACAATCCAGGCGCACCACAGGTGAGACCACCACGCATGGCAAGCCGGCATGTGCAACTAACGACCCTCGCTCACTCAGACCGCCTCCTCTCCCTCTCCCTTTCTCCCTCTCCCCCTCCCGATGGATGGATTGTATCATTGCGGCGCATGAGGCAAAAATAGGACGCAAGCCGTGCAGGAGAGAGACAAATACGCCCTCATGCACTCATGCACCCAGCAGGCAGGCAGGCAGGCAGCGACGAGGAGGTTTGCACCTAGTGAACAAGTAGGGTACGAAGGAGAGGAGGGTCGCTGGTTCATCCATCGTCACACCCGCACGCACAGCAACAATGCAGCAAAGCATGATGCAAAAATGCGTCACGTATTCGCTAAGTTGCTCGCTGACTTGTTCAGCTACCCTCCATCCATCCATCCGTCACCAAGCTCATAAACCTGCCGTCATTCCGTCCGTCCGTCCGTGGGTCCGTGTGCCCACTCCCGTGGGCTATTGACAGGTATGCACGCACAACAGGCACCGAAGAGGAGCGGAAGGGACTGGAGAGAGAGGTTAGCGATAGATCCATCCAGACGGATCGATTCATTCAACACACATACAGAGAGAGTGCGATCAGACAGATTGAATGAGAGAGAGAGCGACAAAGAGAAGAGAGGGGAGAGAAGAGTAGACGACACGAAGCAAGCACACAGACGGCTATGCATGTCATTAAGCACCAGCAGCAAGCCCCCGCCCACAAGCAGAGAGACACGATACAGGTCGGTTTGCCGGTCAGCCAGTCAGCCACGGACGGATACGAAAATAAAAAAATGCAGCCACACTCTCACTCACCCACCGTGCAATGCGATCGATCGACATGGACCCACCCACCCACACGGCAGCCACACGTGCAGCAGCATCACCCGTGCACATGATGTCCCTCCCACCCAGCAAGCCAGCCAGCATCGGAGAAGTGAGTCCAGTACACACCACACAGCGAACGTACGTATGCATTCCACTGGGGTAGGTATCGATGTATGGATGTATGTGTGTGTGTGTGGGTCCATGACATGATGGTATGTGTGTTTGTGCGTGTGCATGGGTGCAGTGCAATCCATCAAAACTGCGCCCCACACACCCAACCACAGCCACAGCCACACATCGGGTCGGGCCCATCCAGGTAGGTTTGAGCAGTGCGATGTGTGCGTTGCCCTCCAGCAAGGCACAACACATAAGCGAGAGAGAAGAGGTGCGGGCGCTGTCAGTCAGTGGTGTGCGGCCGTGTTGCGTCGGTCCGTCGGCCTGTCTGTCCTTGTGTCTCCTCCAGTGCTTCGAGGAGGACTAAATTACGCTCGCACCGCTCACAACCACTCTGGCCAGCCACACACAGCCCCCATAGGCAGCTAGTCGATACACAAAACCCCCACCATGGCATGGCCTCTGTCAATTGGTGGGGGGGCGACACCACACACGCATGGAAAGACACACACACACTCGCACATCCCACCCTAAACATCCCTCCCATTTCACACCATCGTCATTAACTCCCACACGCAAAACCACCCACCCATCCACCCACCCATGCACCTCCCTCCCTCCCTCCCTCCCCCTCTCGGCTCGTCGATTGTTGTGCGATCACCAGACAGCAGCCCGGTATAGGCCCCCGCCAGCCCCCTTCTTGTAGGGCAGAAATGGCGACCCGAGTCCGTCCCAGCTGCCCACCCCAGCCCCCTCATCGCCCGACGACGTGGCTGTGGAGGGCGTCTTGGGGGATCCCCCGCCCTCCCTCACAGGCACTCCATGCCACACCTGGCCGCGCGAGGGCGTGGGCAGCAGCGGGCCGTCGTCCACATCCCACGACGCCACACGGTCACCGTACTGCACGAACGGGTGAGGCGTGCCCGTGTGTGGGTGTGTGTGAGGGGTGGGGGTGGTCTGGCCGGGGATGATGATGGTGAGGTTGCGGCAGGGGGCCGCGGCGGCCGACGACGACCTGGGAAGCTCGAGTGTGAGTGGCGCTGGGTGTGTGGTGGGGTGGCTGGCCGGCGGGGGAGCGTTTCGTGCCGTCCAGTGGTTGTAGGTGATGTTGCGGATGTCCTGTGGAACATCCGGAGGGAAGAACGCGTCGTCAGGCACATCCACCGTCACCGCATTGGCCTGACGAACGCATTCATGGATGGATGGATGGATGGACGGAAGGATGACACACATTGATACAGGTGCAGGTCGTGTCATTGATTGATGTGACGTACCCGTGCTGTGAGTGGTGTGAGTGGTTCCATTCCCGGTAGGGGAACGTAGTTGGTGGGGTGGATGGTGACCTTGTTGTCCCTGCTCTTGTACACGCGACACACCTCGTCCATCGGAGGGTGGGTCAGGAACGAACTCAACTTGATGTGGCCAAACGCTGTCGGAACTATCGTACGCCGGAACCTAACAAAGCCCATACACACACAACACGACGACATACATAGATACATGTTCCAGACAGACCTCCTTGCCCGTGCCCTGTCTGTGTCTTGACTGACTGACTGACTGACTTGGCAGAGAATCGTCGTTTGAATTGCGAGAGTAGTATGCCCTGCGGGAAGTCCTTAAGCAGGCTGCTGATGCACTCCTTGACCAACTCGACATCCTTCAGGCACGCCGCCCCGCCGCCCTTGCCACCGCGGCCATCGCACTCGTCCGCCAGGCCATCGCTGGTGGCGGTGGTGGTGGTCGTCGTGGTTGTGGTGTTGGGTGGGAACCCTGGCGAGGTGGGTGTGGTGGGGGAGGGGGGCTGGGCCTGTGTGCGTGGGGTGACCTCGAGGACGGCGGACGCAATGCCCTTGCAGGCGGCGACCGGCTGGAGGATGTTGTTCTCGTAGGCCAGGAGGCCCTTGGTGATGGCCAGCTGCACTATGTGGCACATCTCACCCAACGTCCACTCACTGAACGGCCCAACCGACACACACGCACACACACATACCAGAACAGACACAGGTGTGTTGCTGGGCCCATGTGTTTCCCCCTGCCTTTGTTGGCTGCTTACTTGGTCCAGTGGAGTGACCTCTTCTTGAGTTCCATGGCCATTCCGTATCTGCCGCCTTTGAACTGGTAGGCGAACTCACCCGTGGCCTCGCCACCCCTGCCGCAGCCGCCCTCCCGCATGAGCACACAGAGGTAGTCGGACAGCTGCCGCCACACCCGCTCGGGGTAGGGGTTGACACTCGATTTCGGGTCCACCCAGCCCCTGAAGCCACAGGGGATGTGCTGGCTCCGCAAATACACACGCGTGGACGGCGACGGGGAGGGAAAGGGCCGCACGCCAGACGATGGGCTGTCGCGTGTGGCGGCGGTGTTGTCGTGTGGTGCGGGGGTGACTTCGTAGACGGCAGGCATGAGGGAGTAGAGGGCGACGAAGTGCTTCTCCACCACTGGCGGCGCCTGCAGCTCCTGAAGACGCCGCTCGATGTCACAGAAGAACGGATGGATCTGATCGATGGGCGGGTGGGGTGGGCAAGCACGTCACACACAGAGAGAGACAGAGACAGCGCCAAACATGAGACTCCAATCCGAAAGCTTCATCGTTGGTCGATCTGTCTTTCCGCCTGCTTGCCGTCCTGCCTGCCTGCCTGTCCCTCCCTCCCTCCCTCCCTCCCTCCATCTGTCTCCCCGTCTGCCTGTCTGTGTGATCACTGCCTGATCTGACCAGGTGCCTTCTCCCTCCCTGTTTGTCTGCCTGAGTGTCTGTCTCACCTGGTCTTCGTATAGCGATGTCAGTGCATAGAGGAGCAGGGCCTGGTGCGTCACGGCCGTCTCGTGTGTCACGGGCTCACTCGATGATGCGGCCGACACGGGCGACGTCCCGGCTGACGACGGAGGGCAGGCAGTCGACACCGAGGAAGATGCCAACATGTCGCCATTCTGGTTGGCGGCGAGGGGCAGAGTGGCGTCGAGGGCGCAGCAGGGCGACATCGAGGGTGCCTCAGGGTGGTCCAGCATGTGCTGTGCTTGGAGGAAGGATTAACACACCGCCTGCCTGCCTGCTGGGCCGCGGAGAGAGGAGATCCGCCACCTCTCCTCTACAGAAAACCGCCTGGAAGACGTCGCAGAGGACACGCACGTCGAAAACAAGGGTGAAAGACTGACCGCCCTCGCCACAGAGATCTCCCAGCTCGCAAGCCTGGCGCTCTGCAGAAAAGGAGAGATCTCTCTGCTGCAACAGGTCTATTCCATTGCGTCAGCCGTGTTGGCAATCGTATCGGTATGAAGGAAGGAAAGACAGCAAAGGACGAAGAGGCGCGTCCTGTGCCGCGTGAGATCCTGTGGGTCTATCTGGCGCTGTTTCTGGAGCTGGTGGGTGCCGGTGCGTCGCTGCCCATTCTGCCGTTCTTTGCGCTCGAGGACCTGAATGCATCGCCCTTCCAGCTGGGAGTCATGTACAGCCTCTACTCTCTGGCACAAATGGTCGGCTCTTTCGTCTTCGGCCGCCTCTCAGACTCACTCGGCAGGCGGCCCATCGTCCTCACCGCATACCTCTGGAGCGCCATCGGCTTCTTCCTCACCGGATGCTCTTCCTCCGTCTGGCAACTCACCCTCAGCAGGGCGTTCGCTGGTTTGTCTGGCGGCAGCATATCGATGACATCGGCCATCATAGCTGACTTCACCGACACCACCACACGGCCAAAGTACATGGGCATCTTCGGCGCCACCATCGGCCTGGCCTTCGCCATCGGCCCCGGCGTGGGCGGGGCCGCCAAGACGGCACTCGAATCCCGCCCTCTGCTCTTCTTCTTGTGCTCGATCATGTGCTTCGGTGCGTTTGTGCTGTCGGTGGTGCTGATCCCTGAGTCGCTGCCCAAGGCCCAGAGGAGGCCCCTGCGGCTGTTGGACCGTGTGGGCGAGGCCGCTCCGCTGCTGAGTGCGGAGGGAGATATGGAGGTGGGCGACAGGGGCGCCGCAGGGGAGGAGGGGGGTGTCAACTACGTGGGCCTGCTCATGGTCTTCGGGGCCCGGTTCCTCACGAGCTTCACGACATCCCTCATGACGACCTGCTATTCCATCCTCTTCAGAGAGACCTACAAGGAACAATTCGGTCAGGGAGGGAGGGCACAGCACAGGACAGCACACCGCCTCTGTTGTGTGTTGTGCTGTGCGCGTGTGTACACTGCCTGTCTCGTGTCTGTCTGTCTGCCCGTCCCGTGTGTGTGTGTTGCAGGCCAGCTTGATCGTGCGTTGGGCATGTTCCTGACGGTGTTGGCCCTCGTCATGTGTGTGTACCAAGGATCCATGTACCCCAAACTCGTCAAGAAATTCGGCAAACACCGTAAGTCTGCCAACCCAACTCACTCAGCTCACATGCAAAGGCAACTGCACTCATTCATTCTACGTGGCCCTGTGACTGTGTGTGCAGGGATCATTCACTTGGGGTGCTTCAGCTTGGGTGTGGGTGTGCTGCTGATATTCTTTTCGACCCGGCTGCCGACCTACCTGCACCTGCTGGCCATCTGCACCTTGTACGCCTGGGGGTCATCAATGGTGGAGCCCGGCCTCCCCACTCTCGCAGCGTCATACGCCGATGCAAAGCATCAGGGATTCGCACAGGTAAGGAGCTGGGCGCCCTAACACACACCATCATGCTTCTCATGCTTCCACCCTACAGCCATCCATCGATCACCTTTCTGCGTGTGTATGCGATGTGTGTGAAGGGTTCTCTGAGTTCGTTTCGGTTTTTGGCCTTCATATGTGGTCCGTCGCTGTTCGGTTACTTGTACAAAGAAGTGAGCCCCGCGGCGCCCTTCTGGGTGGCTGGCGTGGCCGGCATGCTCGCCGCCACACTCACCACCGCTGCTGAGTAAGGCTATCAATGATGCACCGCACCCAGAGGATTGGGGGAAGGCAGGCGCCTCATCCACGTGTGTGTGTGTGTGTGTTTTTTTGCGTTGCCTTGATGCAGGCGGTTTGGTTGTGAGATCAGTGACGAGGGCGCGTCGCGGGAGGGGGTCGCTGCATAGCACGGCCTGGCGAGGCGAGGCGAGATGCGACGAATGAGAGCACGCCCGCGTTTACATTCTTGGTAATGCAGCTTTCCAGCCCCCCGCGATGCACTGACGGACTGACTGATGCGACACCCTATACATACATAGATACGGAATGCGTTGACGTTTAATCCCCATGGATGGATGGATGGATGGATTTGTGGTGAGGTGACTGATGAATAGACGCAGGGCTCATCCAAATGAGTGTAGTTAGTGAGGGGACTGTGGTAGAAATGCAGTCACACGAGTGAGTCATCAGAGAGAGAAAGTCACCACACACACACACACCATACATAGACATAGCCACGCACACCACTAGGTTGTTAGCAAGTAAGTACCTTCCACCCACCCACCACACACACCACATACACCACACAAGGGCACACCACGCCAGCCACCTAAATGTGCACTGCACTCATCACATCACATCACATCACACACACAGAGAGGGAGGGAGAGATAGCACGGACGCACAGACGGATGGACGGACGCATGCACTGATGAATCAATCGGTGAGTGAGTGAGTGAGTGACTTGGCGAGTGAGGAGCGCTTCTTCCTTCCAACCATTGATGGATTGATTGCTGACTGACTGACTGATTGATGGGTCGACCACCCACCATTCATTCATTACCACCTCCCTCCCCAGATGAACAGAGACTAGGCCACAATCACGCGCACATACCCAGTCACACACGGGGGGTGGGATGGAAGGGGAGGGGCCGGGGGGAGGGATACATCCAGCGGACGGACAGAACACTCATGACACAGTCATGACATGCACCCACGGAGTCGCGATAGACGTCACACAACACAACACAACACACCTCGTTTCATTGATTGCGCCAACCCCCCCACCCACACCCACCGACCCACAAACCAACAGGAGATCGATCGAAAATCGAAACTCATGCACGCTTCTTTGGCGCGTTATTTCATGCAGCCAGCCAGCCAGCCAGGCAGGCACATACACACACACGCAGCCCAACCCTCGACAGACACACGAACCCCCCCTCCCCTCCACTAGCAAAAATAAAGTGACACACGCATCCTCCCCCTCCATACAGTCATCATCACGTAAGCATCACAGGGAAACGACATATAGATAGGGGTGAGAGAGACGGCCGGGGACGTGCTGTGCTGGGAATGACTAGCTCTTTGCCGTGGCGACTGTCGTATCGGGTAGAGTCGAGTAGGTGTTCTGTGTTGCGTCGGTTGCGGCCAAACAGGGCCTCACTGCACTGACTGCCGGTCCGCCGGCCAGTATAATAATAAAACTAAAGCGTGCGTGGGACACATCCCTCCCTCCCTCCCTCCCGCCCGCCCTGCGTGTGTTAAAACCATGTGGCTGCGGGGTGACCTCGCCCGACTCAACACAGACAGATCATTGAATGTGATAGACACAGGACCGCCCCGCCCCGCACCCGTGCAGACACGCAAACGAAGGGAGATAGGTAGCGCTACAGATGGATGGATGTCCGATGGATTTGCCGATCAAGGCACGGGAGGCAGGCAGGGATGCAGGTGAGTAGGCTGAAAAAGAGGAGGAAAGAGATAGATACGTCCCTACCTGAGGTGAGCCACTGACACGCACACAGGGATGGATGCATCCACAACACACCACACCACACCACAACACAGCCTCCCTCCGTCCCTCCCAGCCCCCAGCCACACAAGCAGCCCTAAATGGTCTGTCGGCTGCAGGCAGGCAATGTGTAAGTAAGTGCGTGTATGTGTGTATGTGTGTTATGGTCGGGACGAAGAAAACATCCAGCTGCTGCGAGTGAGATGGACGACCGACAAGGCAAACAAACATCATAAAAACCAAAAGCCCTTTCTTTCCTCTTCGTGGTGTCTGACTGTCTGTCTGTCTATCGAGGGTCACAAAAATGGTGGCGTCGCGTCGCGTCAACCGTACCGGTATGAAAACATAAATAGGCCACAAACCAACCAACCACACACACACTCAGATCCATCCATTATGCAGCCAGCCAGCCACAGCCATCCATCCGGCCACCCATCAAGACAAACAATCCTCAAAGTAAAAAAATACGTCTTGTCCATCCCCTGCCTGTCTGTCTGTCTTGTTTCTCCTTACTTGACATTTCCCATTCACTCACTCACGAATAAATGGTCTCATCTCACCTCACCCCCTCCCTCCCTCCCTCCCCCTTAATAAATACTGTTTAGACACGCACCGCAGCAGCCAGACACACAAGGACACACCAGCCAGCCAGCCAGCCAGCCAACTGTCCGTCAACCGCTCACAGATCGACTCCTGTTCGTTTGTATGCAGGTGTGTACGCATCCGGGGTGCCATTCATTGGTCCATTCGATCATTCATTCATAATACAAACCTTCTGCGGCTGGACGCAGTCCCCCCAACAAACAAGACACACCGACACACAACGACGTCCGACACACCACACCCATCCGCCCGCGTACACACACCGTACAAACCACAAGCCCGCAAAGTGAGGGGCAGAAAAGCCATAAAAGACCCAACAGGGCGGAGGCAGGCAGGCAGGCAGGTCAAGAGAGGTACTTACTGTGCAGGCAGGCCAAGTGAGCCGAGTGTCCCCCTCTGATCAAATTATGGGGGCCTGCGGGACTCGCTCGTTGGTTGATAGACACAGGTGCACAGACAGGCAAGACACGCAGGCAGGCAGGCAGGCAGACAGGTCAGAAAGGAGTAGACGAGAGAAAAGGCGAGGAAAGAAAAAGAAACCCCTAAACCCCCATGACAACTACCCCACCCCGCCCCGCCCCGCCCGACCAACCCATAGCGACACGAAAAGACACATCCGACCAGCCAGCCAGCCGACCGACCGACCGACCAATCACGGCACGAATGCATCCTCATGACATGTATGTATGTATGTGTGTATGCTTGTACGTATGTGTTGATGGGAGTCGTGATGTGGCCGGCCCTGGCCAGCTGACATGACAAACAGTCGGTCCCGAATCTAGCGGGCTGCCGTCCGCCCTCAATGGCATGGTGTATGTGTGTGTGTGTGTGTCTGTGTGTGTGATAGCTGTCTGGCTGTCTCCATCTCAACAGCCGCGAGCAGCTTAGCTGACCTGTGTGTGTGTCATCGCCATCAAAAACTGCCAATGTGACTACCCAACCACCACCCACCGAGCCCACTGACCTACCGGCCTCTCTCTCCCCTCCCCCCCACTCACTCACAGAAAGCGTCAAACCCTCCATCCATCCCTTTCTTGCTTTCCCCACTATGCACGCATTTAGTTGCATCCCATTCACCCACAGTCAACCATATCGTCCCCACACAGCACCAATAAACGTCAAGAGTCCAATGAATCAATCAAACACCAGCAGACAAACAAACACGATGGACAGACAGACAGACGAATAGGACAAAAGACCAAAGACAGACAGGCGTTACAAAACATGACCCGCCCCTGGGCTGGTCTATGGTATGGACGCAGGTAGGGAGGTAGGTAGGCAGGTATCTTACGAAGGAACACAGCACACCACGACACGGCTTAACACATAGAGGGAGGGATACATGGATGGATGATGCGCGGAGGGGGGAGAGAGAGGGAGGGAAGGCGCAGAAGGGAGGGGACGGAGAAGGGCACTGTTCCGTTGGTTCTCTTGCTTCGCTCCCCGTCCCTCCCTTCCGTGGCCATCATCGCATCGTCTATCCATCTATCATATCACGTGTGTAAGTATGTATGTATGTCTGTATTGTATGGTATGCATATATATTGATTTATGTATCCATCCATCAATCCATTCATCCATCCATCCGTCCATGAAGGGAGGGATTATTCCATATAAAATCATAAATGTGGACGAGACACCTCACACACGCGCCGGCCCGGCCCGGCCCAGCACGGCCCCTCGCGTGTGTCAGGTGGTCCTCCGGACGTCCGCACGCCATCCGTCACCACCACACGTCTTCATGAAGCATGGACCGTACAACACACAACACACAGCACACAGCACACATGACAGCGGGCAGGGCAGGGAGGGGAAAGGACAAACCAGGGGTACTTATGAGTTAGCTGAGTCTGTAAAAACAGCGCCACCCACGCACATCAATCACATCATGCTCGTTGCTGTCTCTGTCTGGCAGCTCAAATGTTGGCATCTACGTATGTAGGTAAAGCTTGACATGACATATGAACTCACGCACTCACTCACTCACTCATCGATCCATCCACTGATTGACGTCGCCACCGAGAATGACCACTAGCACACCACAGGCGGAGTCAGTATCGTATGCAGGTATGCAAGTGTGAAAATGCATGTATGTTTGTGTGCATTGTATGCAGGGGGGGCAAAGAGGGCAAAATCGCCCACCCATCCTCATTCATTCATTCATTCATTACTCATTCCATCCCTGCCTGACGTCCTCAAAAACATCAATCAGCTGGTGGATGGATGGATGGATGGACCTCGTGCTGTGTCTGTAGTGGCGTGTGGTGGGATGCGATGTGCGCCCTCACTGCGAATTGCATTACCTGCAGCTGGCACTGCCCAAATCCCCCCCGCCCCCTCCTGTCTGTCTGTCTGTCTGTCTGTATGCAATCCAATCCACGAATGCACACCAAGGCGACAACGAATCGTGTGCACCACTCGGCACAAACAATGCCCTCCCCTCCGGGCACGTTATAAAGAGCATCACACACACACGCACACACACACACAACAAAGAAACCGAAATTGGCTGGCTGGCATGCTTCCTTTGCTTCACGGTTGAAACAACTGACAGGCAGGCAGGCAGGCAGGGGAGGGAAAGAGGCAGGACAGGGCAGCAGGAGGCAAGACATACAGTAACTGACTGACAATCAAGGCAGCCTGGCAGCAGGCTGGTGGGCGGCGAGCGACAAGGCACCTTTCTCACACATTATACACTCATCCAGAGGCTGGTTGCACTTCGCTGGCCCTTCCCTCATCTCTCCTTCCTGTCGCTATATGCGCCTGCCGGTCGTCGGCTGCTGATGCTGCAGTCCCCTGAAGGGCGTCATTTCGTGTCGGTTGAGGACGTTCATGTGGTCTGGCGGGTGGGTGAGGCCATCCTCCTCGGCCACCTCCTCGTACCCACACGCGTCGTCGCTCTTAAACACCACCGAGTCTGTGTTATTGTGGTCCAGGCCTATGATCGGCTGCACGTTGGCCAGGAAGTCCGTCAGGAACCGGTCGTTGCTGGCGTCCCACTCGTCGCTCTCGCGTGCAGACGGCAGCGGCACCGGGTGGGCTGAGGAGAAGAAGGACGAGCCCGAGAGAATAAGGGACGCATCCGACTGGGTACCCAGGGCCATCGACTGGGACAAGACGGACGGCGTGGGCGCCTGAGTGGAGAAGTTGGACGAGGGGGACTGGCCGGCAACGACACTCATGCTGTCCGACATGTGCTCGCACGACATCCCCGGGGGCTGCGACGTGCTCCTCTTGCTCGACGACCGCAGCATCTGGTGGACAAGCTTGCCCGACCCCACTGCGGATGTCGTGGCATCCTCGCGATGGTTGCTGCCGTCAATGGCCAGGAACGACAGGGGGAAGCAGCACGACGCCGGCGGAGGGGAGGAGCCATGCGTCCCGCCCTCCCTGACGTACGAGTGGCTTCTCGATGGCTCATCCTGTCGTGCGTCCTCGATGCCCTGCTCTGGCGTGTCGTCTGTAGACCGCGGCTGACGCGATCGCCTCTCGAGGAAAGGCGGGAAGGGCGGGGGAGGCGGCGGAGGGACAGACGACGATGAGTGCTCATCATGCGCCATCACATCCCTCTGCTGCTGCTGCTGCTGCTGCGCTGGTGCCTCCTTGCACTCTCGGTGCTGGGTGGGCGGCGAGCGTGTAGGTGGCGGGGGAGGCGGCAAGTACGGCACGTGCACCTCCCCTCCGAGATGGTCGCTGCGAGAGCCCCGGCCGCTCGATGAAGCCTCGTCGCGGACACTGCTTGCTGACCACTCGGCCTCGTACACAGCCGGCAGCCTGCACACACACGCACCAAGCCGACATCTCTCCTTGGCTGCCCCTTTCCATGTGTGAATCGTGCGTCCTCACGATAGATGCGATCCGAATCGTTGATGTCCCGGGCTCTCTTGCTCCACCGATCGGCCTCTGGTGGACATCGACTGGGTGTCCGACGGCGAGAAGGCGCGCGGACGACCGGTGTCCGCCCCGAAGTAGGTGTCGGGGATGCTCGCCGTAGACCTGGAAGTGGTCAGCGTCCGGTCGCCCACCGAGAAGAGAGTGGTGCTGGTGAGAGTCCGAGAAGACTGCGGGATAAACGGCGGGGCGGGGCGGCTGGTGGAGTCATGGGACGTGTGCAGCCAGGTGTCATCCTCTGCCGTGAAGCTTCGAGTGAGCTGTTTCCGTCTCCTGGGCTCTCCAATGCCATGCGCGCCGTCCGAGTCGCCCGACAGAAGCTTGCTGTCCATGTGCAGCGCTCGCATGAGTGCGATCGGCACCTGCTCATGCGGCGGTTTGTGGCTTGGTGGCATCGGGGGTGGCTTCTCGGTCGACGACAGTGAAGAGGATGAGGCGATTGACCCACCGCCGTGCGTCATGGGCTGGCTCGGCCTCCGAGTCGAGATGCTCCGCTCCTCCCGCCGCAGATAGTCCGACACCTGCCTCTTCTCGACGAGTGGCAGGCTGCTGGCGTGCCCCTCAGGCGTGTCAGGCGGGGGCGGGGGCGGTGGAGTGGGCGTCGGGGCGGGTGTTGACGGGGTCAGGTCGTCGTGATACGATGGGGGTGGACTGCGGGGCGTCAGACCGCTCGGCCGCACCGGGTAGACGGACAGTAATGGTGGCGGTGGCTGGCGAGATTGACCTCTGCCGACAGACGATGACCTCCTCTCCCTGGCGTGCGAGTCGAAGTTGAGGCTGTTGGGGACGACGGGCACCTTGACCATCTCCATCGGGGGCATCGCCAGCACACCCTCACCCTCCTCAGCCTCTGCTGACGGAGGGAGGGGCTGCTGCTGATGCTCGCGCGCAAGGGCTGTCGTCCTGGCGTAGTCTTCGCTGGAGTCGAGAAGGTCTCCGCGGTGGTAGTGTGTCTGGGGTGTGGGCAGCCGTCCCCTGTAGGGACCGGACCGCTCGCGACCGATGGGAGGGAAACCGGGAGGGGGCGGCGGAGGCGTCAGGGCCCTAGGTGGAGCACCAACAAACCATGCATCGCATCGCTTCAAACCCGCTGTTCGGTTCCATCTGTGTGCGTGCCTGGCCTTACGGTGGTGTCGAGAAGGGCAGTGTCGGATTGGCCAGTCGTCTAAGAGCCGACGGCTCGAGAGTCGACGGGGTCGATGAGGTGGGGGGTGGGGGCGGTGGCGGTGGAGGAGGTGGTGGCTGCTCGTGCATCGGTGCACCATAATGCCTCCGCTCGGCGCCCATGCTGCCTCCTCTTCCCCGCCCTTGTCGCCTGAGCATCAGCTGCTGCAGCCCGGTGCCGGATGGTGCAGTGTATGGCTTGACGGGTGACTCCAGCTCATGCATGCGGCCCTCCTCCCGACCGCCCCTCATGTGGCGTCCCATGGCCTCCAGGATCTCAGACACACGATAGCGGCCACTCGATGGCGAGAGGGGAGGGTGTACGGGGGTCGGCTCGGGGGGCCTCGCGCTGCCGGGAATGGATGGTGGCGGGGGCACGTGTGCTGGCGGCATTTCCGGGGGTGGGGGTGGTGGCACCGATGACGGAGGGGCGGGCTGAGACGGCGTGCACGGCGGGATCAGCTTGTGCTCAAAACCCTTTGGCATCGACTGGTGCTGAGGACAAACACACAGCGCGAAAGGGGCGAGTTGGTTGTTTGATATGCCTTCGTCAGTCTGTGCGTTCCTGTCCACCTGATACTGCATAGCGATTTCGGCCTTGACGATGGCAAGTGCCTTCGCTGCCAGCCTGCAGACACTCAGACAGACAGACAGACAGACAGACAGGCAGACGCATTGGCTGCTTTGCCGGGCTGTGTGCATTTCGTCCTTCGTAGCGTACCGTTTTTTCTTCGACACGCGATTGCGCTTCTTGGGTGGGTGAGGAAAGTGACCTGACAGCCACCCAACCAACGGACGGACATGCGCAGAGGACGGGGTGCTAGGCCGGTTTTATCTTTGTGAGGCGCTTACAGAAGAGACATCTGTAGCCGTTCTGGCATCCCTTGGTGTGCGCAAACACACACGGCTTGCACTGACCTGATTGATTCATCCATCCAGGAAAAGGCACTCGAGCAACGGTGAATGACTGACCTCGAGTGTGCGTACCGTACCTTGGCTGTGTAGTAGTGACCCGACGCTGAGAAGGTTGCCGTGAGAGTCACGGGGGATGTAGGCCAAAACCTCAGCTGGGATTATCTGCATCCATGTCAAACACAGAGGAAGCGAGTCAACAATCCGCTGTCTTGAGTGGCTCAATGAGTGAATGAGTGAGTGAGTGAATGATTGAGTGACTCACTTTGAGTGCGTTCTTTTCTTCATCAATCCACGCCTCGACGTCCGCGTCCAAACTCGTCAACGTCGTACTCTAGAGGCATAACAGGCAGTGGATGGCTTCATTGCTTGTTGCTTCCTTGTTTGCTCCTCTCACCTCTTCCGATCCGTCTTTCCATATGAAGTCGAGTGCCTTCAAAACCTTCGGATCGCGAGCACCGCCAGCCGCAGAGCCCTTGAGTATCCTGCTCAGTGTCTTCTCCAACGATCGAACCTTGTGCACACAACACAAACACAACAGAACACATGTACATATACATATACACACACAGATCGATCGCGCGTACGCACCTGTTCGACACCGTCTCCCTCGTCACGTTCCTCGTCGTCCTCTTCGTCGTGATCGCCCTCGCTGGCCGCCTCATCGTCAAGGACACCGTGGGTAGGCGACTCCCGATGACCCAGCGACGGGTGCGGCTGGATGTACGAGGACGGCGGAGGTGACATGGGAGGAGGGGGCGGGGGACGAACGCCTACTGCACACACAAGCAGCGACACCGACAGGGAAGCAATACATTTAATGACACAAGCAAGGCAGACAGGCAGTCAGTTCTGTCTTTCGTTATTCTCTCTGACTTGTGTTCATCAGTGGAGTGACAGTGGGAAGTACCTGCTTTTGGCGTGACGTCTGCCGCCCGGTACGCCTGTGCCGCCCTGTGCCCGCCCGGCCACTCCGTCGGCCGCGTAGCACTGGCAGCGCCTTCGCCATAAGGTGGCGGGGGCGGCCTGGTCCGTTCCCAAGGAATCTCCTGCTGCGTGTAGTCGGCACGAAAGGCAGCTCGCTCGGACGTCGACAAGACGAACGGAGAGATAATGCCCCGCCCACTGTGCTGCCGGCTGCGGGCTGCTGCTGACGGCACCTCGCCTAAGCGGATGGTCTGACGCGATGCCTGCTCGTCGCGAGCACTGCTGGAGGGAGGGGAGGGAGGGGGCAGCTCCTGCTGGTGAGGTTGCATAGCCGACAATCACCGCGAAGGCCGCTCAATGCCCGATGCCCGATGGCAGGATCTGGACGCCAGGACGCCAGCGTCAGGGGCAGCCGGCGCGCGACGAGAGCGTGCACCCCAGCTGCTGTGGCGAGTCCAACTTCTTGTGCTTCTGCCGTCTCTCCATCGCTGCGTGAGGGACGGACTGGTGATCGTCAAATTTGCGTTCGTTCTCGAATCTCCCCCTCAAAATCCTCAGGAACCAGAAGGGCTACCACTCACTGGCCGTCGGCAGACACGCCGGCCCTCCCACTGCCCCTCTAGAATAGCGAGCTCAAAATTTCGGCTAAGCTCGCAGACGAAGAGAGCCGGACTCTCTCTTTTGCCTCGATCTCAGGAAAGGGAGGACAATCACACGGCATAGACAGACTGAGTTGATATGGCGAGCTCGTTAGATGATCCCGGCCGTGGTCTTTTTCTCTCTTTGTTCGGCGAGGCCCCGAAGAAGCGTGTGGAATCCCAAGAGGAGCGTGACATATCCGCCAGCACGTCCGCTGAGACGCCGCGAGAGGCCGCACAGCAGCCCCAACCCAGTGCCCCCGTGCAGCACCCTTCTCACCCGAGCACTGCCCCAGCAGCCCGGCATCTCGACGCCATCAACGTCGATGCGCCCGGGGTGCCCAAGTTGTCGACACTTTGCCTGCAGAAGCTAAGGGCGCAGCGAACCCGGGTTGTCGTCGATGCCAACATCCCTGACAGTCAGCTCAAGACCATATACCAAGGTGGGTGGCGGGTGCACAGCACAGGGAGGAGAAGAGGAACAAGAGATCGGTCTTCTGTGCTGTCGTCCACCCGTATCGCTGTCCGTTGGTGTGTGCGCCGTGTGATCAGGTGCCAGCATTGAGGAGTTGGAGAGGTGCGAACGGATCCACCCGCAGCGTCAGACGCTGGTCAGCAGGATGGCGTGGCAGCACCTGTGGCGTGATGCCGTCAAGTCACACTTGAGACACGTATGGACAACAAGCACGCCCACATACACACCAGGGGGAGGGAGGCCAATGACTCGCTGCTGCTGTGTCGTGTGCTGGTTGTTTGTTGGTCAGCAAAAACACGTGTTGGATCAGCGCAAGCCCAAACAGAGCTGGCGCACCTTCTATCTCACCATCAAGCAGAAGCAGCAGGAGCGGCTCAAGTGAGCACGGGCGCGGGGCACACTACTCAGACAGACGATGGACAACGAACACCTGCCCACCACACCACAGCACACCACATAACACATATGTTTCCTTCCCTCTGCCTGCAGGGCTGCCTCAGCGATGGCGAAAGAAAAGTAACGCCTGGCCACCACACGCGAAGTGAGCAAGTGTGACTCACATGTCCCTCGGCCGCCGCCTGTGTATCAGGTACCGTGAGAGTGAGGATTCCAAGAAGTCCATCAATGTCGTGTCGCACGCTGCCGAGCCGTCCAAGCGACGGTCCAAGGCCAAGGCGGGACAGGCCACCGCCCCCCTCAAGCTGGGGCCACATGCGGACTTGGTCGTCAACTTTGGCGGCTCGAAGAGCTCGCAAACACGCAAGACCACCACCAAATCCAAGACGGTGAGAGGAGAGGGATCGGACAGGTGGCGTTGTGTCGGTGAGCACCTGAAGGGATATTTGTTGTTCAGGTGAAGCGTGAGAAGACCAATGCGCACGTCATGGTACATATCCAGACATGCACGACTTGTGAATGATGCCGTGTGGGTGTCCCTGTTGGCTCTGCATCTGTTTGACGGCATATGGACCACCAACAGAAGCCCAAAGGTGGATGGATGAGATGAGATGGATGGGACCCAACTCAGACACACCACCGTGTAGCTGGTTTCCGTATGTGTGGTATGTCTGTGTTCGTTCAGTTGTGGGTGGCGTGGAGCAGCCGGTTCGTCAGCAGCCTGGGCAGCTTGGATACAATGGGCTGCCACGGGAGATCAAGGTCACCAAGGACAGCTACAAGCCCCAATACCTGGTGCCACCTGAGCCACAGCGCCAGGCGAAGAGGGGTCGCAGCAGCAGCCCTGCGAAGGAGCGGATCAGCAGCCCTCAGCGAGCAAGAAGCAGCAGCCCCACGCCTCCACTCAAGAAGGCCAAGTGGCAGAAGACCGACTGACTGTGATTGACTTATCCCTATCGATGGTTAAGACGGGATACGCCTAGCAGATGCACACATCCGACCGCCTTTTTGCCCGACGACACCGGGTTTGTTTTTCCTAAGACGAATTGCATGTGCGTGTCGCTCGCTGAGTGAGTGAGTGAGTCTGGTGTGTCTGTTGTCCATACTCCTAAGACCAGAGTGCGCAAGAATGTGTGGTTGTAGCGCGTGTGTATGAGTGCGCGCGTCTGATGTTTCCCCCGTCCCTAAATGGATATGGGGTGTCCGTATCTTCGCAATTCAGGTGGACGGCACACGTAGGAAGGGAGGAAGACAGGGGTGAAACGTGCATTGGCGACAGCCGTTTGTAGGGGTGGACCAGGCCTGTCTGCATGTATGAGGATTGCTTGCGTCCGTACGTTCAGACGCAGAGGAAGTATTTGGTCATCAATCGATATTTAAATGCAGCACTCACTTATTGTACACACACACTCACACACAGAAACGATGGCGTCTCTCTCTGTCTGTCTGTCTGCTCTAGTTCTGATTGCTACGGCTCCTTCCCCGAGCCCTCGTCGGCATCAACCAGACATAGAGACAGAGATTACAGATTTACACGTGACTGTCATAGGTCACCGAAGCCTGTCTGTCTGTGACCTATGCCAGTCACGGCTCGTTGTTGCCAAGAGTGACCTTCGGTCTGCTGGCAGCGCGTGGCGGCCCTGCTGCAACCGACGACACACTGCAGTGCTCACCATGCAGCCTTTCATCCAGGTCATCGTTATCTGCACCATCCTCAGTCCGCTCTTGCTCGCTGCTGGTGGCCGTCCTTCCGCCTTGTGAAGGCTTCTCAAGGATTGCGTATACGGTAAGAGCGCCAGTAATGAACGACTTCCTCCTGTCCACGGATGAGTTGGCTACCACAGGGGAGTTGAGGGCCTTCAGTATGCCACCCAGCCGGCCCTGGGACAGATGGGTCATCAGCAGGTCCCTCTGCTCGCCGTCGAAGTCCGCTGATGAGATAGCGTCCTGCAATTCTCGCTCTGTCTGGCCTTGAGACATGCTCTGCTGGTTGGAAAGGGACTCGATGGGCTTCACGAGCATGTCTGTGGTCTGCGTGGGGTACTGAGACAGCTGCTGGAACTTGCCCGCCAAGTCGAGGGGCGACGTCAGTGTGCCCTGAAAGGCCAGGGTGCCGTGTGGCTTCAAGTGGTGTGTCTGGCTGGTAGGAGTGAGGGGCAGGGCAGGGCCCTCCTCGGGAAACTCCTCAAGGCGCCCCTTGGATGTTGATGATGTGACAGGCTGCTGGTTGTCGACTGTGGCTGTGCTGAATGAGCGCAGCATGTTGTTCGCCATGAGGGACTGGGAGGGGAATGGCAGGGGCATCCGCAGCTGGGAGTGCATCGACGGCACTGGGGGCGTGGAGATCGAGTCCGGGCTGAGGGCGGGAAGGCCAAGTGCAGATCGAAGAGCCTCCACCCGACGGCACAGGAACTGGACCGAGTCCTGGGTGGACATGGAGATACTCACACACCTCCCTATCATCACCAGGGCCTGGCAGACACACACACAGGGACGTGGTCAGTCAGTCGGTCGATCGTGCATGTCTCCATTTGGGTATGATGGTGTCTCCCCCTCTCTCCCCCTCTGCCCGTGCGTGGTGGCCGGCTGACCTCTGCCACGGTCAGATTTGTCTGTGAGTCGATGTGGTGGGCCCACTTGACGCATCCGTCGAGCAGTCGCTCAGCTTGCTCTGGCGGGATGGGGGAGGGCAGCCGCAGTTCGGGATTGGCCTCCTCCTTCACCTTCACATCCTCCTTGCCACCAGCCAATGCCTGTTTCTGCTGCCTGCATCCAGATCATACACATATATATCGATTCAATGCCCGTGTGTTCGTGCTAGTCAATACCAGTAGAACATTCCGGCAGTCGACTTGCGCTTGGGTCTTGCCCTTTCGAGGCCCTCGAACAGCGACGAGGCCGACCCGGCGCGGCGAGGAGCTGCACATACAAGGTCGATCGGTCAGCAGGTAGCCGGATCAAGGAGCCTACCATAAGAAGGGTCTCTTGGCTTCTCGGCGATGTGGAAGTAGGTCAGGTCGTCAGGGAGGGACTTGTCATGCTCATACAGCAAACGTTCCAGACGCATGTGACTCATGTGCTTCCGCCACACAGCCCTGACATGATGCACACCAGACAGACCGACAGACAAACAGAGAAAACAGTAACGCAAAAACCAGCCATCTACCTGTGTTTGCGTATGTTACGTTGTATCTGTGTTTACTTAATCAAGTGCTTGGCGCTGTTCCATATCGTGTCTTCTTCAGACACCGACGCTCTTATGCGCAGATACGCCTCGATGATAACAGCTGATGGGCAGGACACACACAACCAACACAGAATGGCTCGCAGTGGTCTTCGTTCCCCCCCTTTGGCTGGCTGACCGAGTAGCATGTTGAGCATGATAAGCGCCACTAGGATCGTGAAGATCCAAATGAAAATCTGTGTGTTTGGGTACTGAACGGGGTCGCCGACCGGCTCAAGCCAGCGCCACTCAAACCATCCCATCATCATCTGCAACGATAGCAACATACCCAAAGGTCGACACACACATCAGGGCACGCACAGAGGCCAAACGCTCCACGCCTACAAGGAAGCATGACGAGAAAGCTCTCGCCGGCGTACTGAACTCCAATATCTGAGTGCGTGCACGCACAAAGCAGTGGGAGAGAATGCATATGTCGTGCGTGTCCCCGCCCATCCACCTTGGGTCCGAACAGGAGACGGCCCGAGAAAGAGAACGAATAGAAAATGCAGAAAAACACTATTGCAAGTGCACAGAAAGAGACACGTTGAGCAGCGTATGTATTTGCTCTTCTTCCTTCCTTTATCAGTCGCTGACAGTGGAACGCATCCTTCATGGAGGCAGAGAGGGTCTTTGTGACGACCGACAGCATGGGCTGCTTCCGGAAGGCATGGAAGAAGCTGCAGAGACAGACACAGCAAGACGTCAACCAAATATGGGTGTCTCACTTGGTCGCTCACCGTATTCCCATCGCCACGGCCATTGCCGCCTCAACTGTCCGATGTCCAAACGTAGATGTCATCGCAGTGATCAGATCCTATTAGGAAACGCAAATGTGGACGTCCGCCGATATGCATACACGTCTGCATTTTACCTGAACGATGAGTGTGGCTTCCTCAAGCTTGTTGATGCATTCGGGTGAGCCTGGCGCGAATTTTCTGGCGACGTCGCTGAACTCGACGAGGGCATCGGTGGCTCGCAGGTCGACGACGCATATCATGATCCAGTCCCAGAGGAAATATGCACCTAGAAAAATCGTCATCCAGTCGAGAAAATTCCTTGATCGTCATCAAGCCACACCCCACATGTCACAACATCATGTCTCCTGTCATCACGGTGTCTATGTGTGTTGTTCGGCCAACCAGAAGTCCTTGATGTACTCTTTAAATCCACCCCAGTAGCCCAGGTCCCGAATGGCGGCTCACAACTCGCGGAGCTCCGTCACGATGAAAAAGAGGAAGCAGACCACAAATAACGTGTCGAGGGCCAGGATGCGAGCAAGCCGATCACGGTACGGGTTGCTCTGCCCAGTGAGACACGCTTGTTTGTCCACGCATCCACGCGTGTATGTCTGACGCGTGTTCTCATTCCACACTGGTGTACCTGTACTGTGTCTAGGGAGACGGATGGGCGCACACTTCCGCCTCGCAGGAAGGTGAAGAGGATCTCCAGCTTGGCAAACAGCCCAAGCTCACCGTTGTACATGAGACCCTCCACACGAACAGTCCATGTCGAGAGGTCTACCCAATTGTAATTGGCCTGCGCACAACACATAGATTCACACATATGAGCATCCATTTCTCTCTCTCTCTCTCAGTGTGTGTGTCTGGTGAAGTGTCTGGCTCAACCAGATAAATAATCCTGTTGCGCAGCTTCTCGATAGGACTGTTCACCAACAACCAGAACTCATACTCTCCCCGATCGTTGGCCTGAGCGAAAGGTATCGATGCACACATGTTCTTATGCGTCTCTGTTGGTCTTCTTACTTCAAAGCCCTCGCCGAGTGGTATATCTGGAAACGCAGCATCGTGGTCGAGGCCCTTGACCAGCTGTCTGGTTTTGTTGACGTCCAGGAAATACGACTTGCTGCTGGACCGTTCATCGTGACAACACTGACCCGTATCGTCCTCACGACAGAATATGCTGGATGACACATACAGCACAGCGGCGCGAGAATGGTTGCCGCTTCGTCTGCATGCTGCTCACGTGTCTAGGTCACTGTTGACACATTTGTTCGTCTTGCTTCTTGTCTGAACCAGCTTGATCCCTCCGATGATCTGATTGTATCGCTCGTAACGGCCCCATGTCGTGCTGGGTAGTCGCCGATCGAACTGCACACAGACGGACACATCCAGAGAGAGTACGGCCAGAACACTTGACATGCGAGTAGGCGTACCGCATCGGTTTGCTTGAACAACGTTTGTGGCATTCCTATGCTCAACCACCGCGAGAACTCGACCTCGGTGTTGACATCAGCAAGTGTCTTGGTCCCATCGGACGTCCGGACACCCTCAGCAATGCTGTATGAGAGCACACAGGTCAGGCTCGGGACCCTCTCTGGTGCCCAGCGTGTCGTGTCTTACACGTCGTTGACAGAATATATGGTGGAGACGTTTTCATGGTGCGAGACAACCAGCAGAAATGAGATGCAGAATAGCACTGCAGGCAGTCAAGGATACACACAAAGCCCTTTCGTCAAACAGCCTGTAAGGGGCTGACGCACCAGCGAAAGGCAGATACTTCACAGCCTGGAGGAGACACAGACGCGACATATCAAGCGAAGTAACGTCGCCTGTTGCAGTGCTGACTAACCTGCTCCTCCCCTGCACGTATCTTGACGAACCGGAGTAAGTCATTCTTCTTAACTGTCTCTGTGAAAACATCAATCATGGGCTCCCTCCCCAGTGCAGAGCTTGGCATCTTCCTCGCCGTCCCGTGCCGCCTCTCCGCCCGCTGATAGTACTGCTCCACATTGATGACGTTCTGGGAGATGCTCGCCACCGGACCTGTAGGCGGACCTGTAGCCCCGCCTGTGTGCTCGACAACACTTGCAGTGGCGGTGCCGAGGAGGGATGCGCTCCGATGTGCATTCGCCTGCCTCTGAGCACGGGGAAGATCGACACATCAGTCGTCATATATGCACTGTGTGTCCTCTGCGGATGTGTGGGCTTCGAGCCCGAGCCTACCTTGTACAGATTGTACTGAAGCGCACACACAAAGCTCATTACCGTACACAGCCAAGAAGACGCCCGGCGTGTCTTGCTTCTGTGTGTGTCTGCTTTGTCCGCCTACCTCCTGGCAGTCTCTTTCCCTCTCAGCCTTCTCAACCACCTTCTTATTATGAGTGTGGTGCGAAATGAGACCAGTGAACTCGGACATTGCAGCGACGAGTTGCAGAGGCCGTCCGGAAACACCGCTCGATTCGGGTTGACCCCGCCACCGCAGATTTCAACGTTTTTAGTGCGCGCTCACGGCGAACGGTTTTCCGCGACGCCCTTTCTCGCGGAACAGTGCCGGCACATCCCTTGTCTCCCCCCTAACCAACCAACCAACCAACTCACCACAGCCTCAGGCGCTGCCTGGTGTGCGATTCCTCCCGACAATGCCCGACAGCGTACCAGGCAACGCGCTGACGTCGCTCCCAGAAGACAAGGTGGTGGTGCCGGTTGACAGATGCGACACAGAGAGCACGGGGGACGGTCACACAAACGGCTCTTCACAAAGTGGAGGGACCAGCAGCCCAGATCTCATCGATGATGAAGGTACGCAATACACGACCGTCTCATTGACTGATCCACCGAGAGCACCCCAGTCACACGAGGAGCAACGAGTCAAAGGACACTCTTAAGCTGATTTTTCCCTCCCGACCACGGTGGGATGCCCTGCAGATGACGGATGGGTTGTGGTTTCTGAGACATTTGATGACCCCTATGATGCCGACGGCTCTCCACGGATGAGCACATTCATCAACGCGAGGGTACGTCTATATGTACAACACAACACACGTGATGACGCCGTTGACAAACACACAGCAGTCTCATTCTGTCCGTTGGCCTCTTGTCTGTCAGGGTCTCCGCATTCAGACGTACGCGTGGGAGGTCTGCCATCCCCGTGGGGTCATCTGTGCCGTCCACGGCTACTCGTCTCACGCACGTCTCGACTGGCTCGTGCCGCCGGCGTGTGACTACGAAGGCAGCTGGGTCCAAAGGTCAGTGGGTGCGCTCCAGCCACGCGTGCTCATGACTGCTCGTTTGTCGGGTTGGTGTGCGTGTCGGCAGGCTAAACCAGCGCGGCTACTCCTTCGTGGCGCTTGACATCCAGGGCTTCGGGCGGTCTCAGGGATGGCGTGGTCTGCGTGGATGCTATCAGCGTTTTGATCACGTGGTTGACGACGTCCTCCACGTGATCCGCAGCATCAAGAAGCAGCACGCCTCCCAGCTCCCCACATTCGTCATGGGCTGCTCTCTTGGCGGCAACCTGGCCCTGAGGGCGGCCCACCAAGCGCAGAAGGAGGAGATGGACATTGCCGGCGTCATTTTGCTCGCCCCAATGCTGTCGGTCGACAACCTGAAGAAGACGGCGGTGAGGAGGGCGATGCTGCTGGTCGCGCCGCTTCTCAGCGCCCTGTTCCCTACTGCCGCATGCCTCGCTATACCTGTGAGCTGCGTGCACGTGTGGACGGATCGCAACGAAACGTGTGACGTCTGTCGTGTGTCTGTGCCTCTCTGTTTGTGTTCGCAGCGTGGAAAGGATCCGAGAATCGACGAGGTGTTTGACAACGATCCCTACACCTACAAGAAGCCGCTTCGACTCCGTGTGGCGAAAGAGCAGATGAACGCATGCGACAAGTGAGGGAGGGAGGACGAAGGGAGAGAGAAGCAGCCGCGACGCTCAACTCTTCTCACCGACCTGTCTTGTCTGTCTGTCTTTTGGCAATCAGGGCTCAGGCCATTGCTCCATCTGTCCGTTTGCCCATGTTGTTGTTCCACAGCCGAAATGACACCTTCATCGAGGCTGCGGGCTCGCAGCGGCTGTGGGAGGCCTCGCCTTCAGAGGTCAGTGAGAGCCAGCGCACTTGACGTGATGAATGCATTCATGTCGGTGTTGTTCTGTTCTGTTGTGACGTCAGGACAAGACACTGCTGTGGTGCGATCACATGTGGCATCATCTGATGACTGATGCGGGCAATCTGGAGCTGCTGGCAACGATAGCCAAGTGGCTGGACCACCGCTCGGAGCCCACTACTGACGCATCCAAATGGCACAGCATGAGCACACAGGACACCCCTGAGGACCCCTGTTGCCCAGCGGCCGTCGTGAGCGAGGATAACACGCCCAACGCCCCCCTGCCGGCACATGGAGACGCCTCCCGCTACGTCCTGCCCCCCTCGCTCCCCTGCTCGCCGTCCGCCGTCACCATCAGATAGACAGGCAGAGAGGGAGACAGGCCGATGTGTGTATGGGTACATGTACGTATGGCGTGGACATGTGTACACGTTGCCATGATGGTTGTTGGTTGGTTGATGTGATTGATGTATGGAAGGGGGTCTTTGATGACCGTCGTTTTGTCCGTCAGTCCACCCACCTCACCTCACTCAGGTTCGGTGAAAATGCATACCTGCATGCTACGCTGCCGAAATACAGCCACGTCACATCCACTGCGCTTGGGCGATCAAGGGAGGGACGGAGAGGGAGCGACCAAGGGAGGGAGGGGACAGGGGGGCTGCCCAAAGGGGCAAGTGAGGACGGACCGAGACGGGTGCATTGCATACACCGATGGAAAGATGGAGATGTTGAATTCTCCATTTTTCAGCCTCTCGTTGTCTGTCGCTATCTGACAGTGTGATGGTGCTAGTATGCCCACGTGGATTGGATGCGTGAGAGCGTTTCCAGTGGTGCTATGCTCGTCTGCGGTTTTGCCGTCCATCCGCGTTGTGTGACTGACTGACTGACTGACGTGCATACCGTACACATCCACACGGATGGATGGATGGATGGCTGAATGGCTGCGTCGGTTTTCTACTGATCCAGTGAATTGGGCGGCTTTCTGCCCGCACCTGTGAAGGCGTGTGACGACATTTCTCCCTTGATTTCCGATTTTTCATTCCTCATTTCATTGGGGAGTTGTGTCTGCCGGGCTGCTCGATTTGGCGGACCCCACAGTGTCCGAACCATCGGCCGATGGTGGGTACCGTCGTTTGGGGGTGACTTGTCCGACACACAGCACGCCATTACAGGCCTGGAAGCACATACATCTACACCCGCTTCCTTCGTGGGTCTTGCTTCCCTCTCGCTGCCTTGATTCCTCTGAGACAAGTCCTGCCGGCTAGCCTTCTGCGTGTGTGTGAAGCGCTGTGGATGGTTGCCTGCCTCACTGCGTGTTTGACGTATCGTAAACACATACATTGACCATCCAGTCTGCCTGCTGTACTCCCACTTTTGTCGTGTTGTATGAGCTATCTATGAGGAGGCGTTTGTGACTTGACGTGATGTGATGCGACACGACGGACAACCACTGAGACATTTCTTATTTTTGCGTTGTCATGCGACCAGACCTTTTCAGACTAAAACACGGAAGCACGGCGGATCAAGTGCCGACAAATCGCTGTCCCAACGAGTTTGTGTGAACAAATAAACTTTGGGCGTCACAGCAGGTCATACAACCGCATCTCACGGATCAATGTCCGATATCATAAACACCCTACCTGAGACTCCATCACTGCCAAGCATCGCAAGAAAATGCCCGCCCGCCCGCCCGACATCGGCGGCCTCGCTGACGCCCACGGTAAAACCACACACGATATGCCCGCTCCCCC